GCTCCCATTGATTTTAAAATCCTACTGCTTACTTATAAAATCATAAATAACATTGCACCTAGCTAACTTATTGATCTCCTTAGTGTGTATATTCCCAGCTGAGATCGTCTGACCAATTGCTCTTGGTGCAACCTAGGTCATGGCTGAAAACGAGAAGTGACCGTGCCTTTGCTTCAGTTGCACCTAACCTCTGGAATAACCTCCTTCATACTGTTCGCACATCTGACTCAATCCAGACCTTCAAGTCTCGATTGAAAACCCACCTTTTTAGCTTAGCCTTCCCGGCCTCCTAGAGTAGGCCTTTTAAGTGTTCTTTCTTGCCTTCCCCTTTCCTCTCTTTTGCCTATATTGTTTTATTGTTTTAATCGTTAAGTCTTGCTTGCTTATCTGTGTACTTGTATGCTTGGTTAATCAATGTCTGCCATCTGCTAGCTTATCTGCATTTGTATTTTACTACTGTTTTATTGGATTATGTGAAGCACTTTGGTTACCTCTGGTTTTAAATGTGCTATACAAATAAAGTTGTGTTGTATTGTAGAGATGGCTTACCGTACACACTGGTGCCATCTAAATATAATGTGTATGTGTTAGTCCCCGTTGGGAAATTGCTCCTCTGCATTTAACCCATTCACCCATTGAAGCAGTGGGCAGCCACCAATGCAGCACCCGGAGAGCAGTGTGTAGGGACAGTACCTTGCTCAGGGGTACCTCAGGGTAGCCGTTCAGTGGCATCGAACCTCTGACCTTCCGATCATGTGGTCACCACTCTACCTAGTGAGCTATCCCTGCCCCCGGCCCCCTATCTTGGTCTCTGTCTGCCTCTTTAAAAGAAAACAACAATGAATTTTTATATCTGGTCCCCTCTGATGAATGAAATTACTTAGTAAGAATGGTCAGCTCTAGTCTTGTTTCCCTGTTTGCCTTGTAGGTGGATGGAGGTGGTCTTGGCATGTGGAGTCAGGGGTGTTTGTTGTGGCGGGTGCTTGCCCCTGGCAGGGTGGCTGGCCTCTTCTGGGCGGAGACCGGGTGCTGGGAATAGGGCTGCCTGGCTGGATCCCTCCTTGTGTGCAGGTGGTCTGCGTACCCCTGACTCTCTATGTAGGGTCGGTCACTCTGGGTGGGATGTCTAGTCTGAACCTTTGGGGCTCAAGGGTGCCCATAGGCCAATTGGGTGGGGTAGGGCCTCCAGGAGAGGCATGCCCCTTATCTTA